TCAGGGCCTGTCCTGTGTGTATCAGGACAGGCTTCCACAGTTGGCACACAAACAAGGCAAAGATTGTGCACATTGAACTGGAATGAGAAGAGTTTAAAAACAGGAGCAGAAAGAAAAGCAGTAGGCTCTGGAATTAGCCTGCTTGAGTTCAGATCTTTGGTCTCCTGCTTACCAGCAAGGACCGGCCTGGATAAAACTGTAAAGTGAATAGACCTTGCTTCCAGAATGCCTGGGTTGAAATCTCAGTTCTGCCACTTTCTAGATGAGTGGCCTTGGGCCAGTTATTTAACCTCTCTGTGCCTCAGTTTCGTCATCTCTATCAAAAGAACGTGTCTCTCAGCATTGGTATAGTACCTGGCATATAATAGGTGCTCAGTGGAACATTAACTGTCATTAGTAGTACCCAGTGAGTTGATGACTGGATTGAACTGATGACCAGATTGGGGTGAGATCTTGAGCACCTGATGCCAAAACCTGAGCTCTCCCACCCTTCAGGCTGCATCCTGGACAAACAAATCCTATCCCCAGGGAGGGAAGTGTTGCTGTTAAGGTTAGATCCATTCCTTGGTCTCCCTTGGTCTCAGGTGCTCAGCTCGGAGGTCCAAACTCACATCACATGCTTCTAGACATTTTGCAGTCATGGCCGATAGTGTTGAGTCCTGGGCGGCACAGGTCCTTTCTCCCACAAGGTCAGAGGCTGAGCTGAGCATCACTGCAGCGATGAGATTCCTGTAGCTGGATGGAGCCAGGTGCTTGTCACTACGCTCAGCTTGGTACATACATCCCCCTATATAATCCTGTTAGCAACGTTGAGAAATGAAGGGTCTCTGGCTTCATTTGACCCATGAGGAAACTAGACTCAGAGAGGCAAGGTGATCTGCCTGAGGTCACACAGTGAGGTCAGCTCTTCCCAGCATGTGGTTCCGGAGCTGGTGCTCTTTCCACTGTGCTGTGCTCTTTCTCCTCCTCCCAGCCCTGAGCACCTTTTCTCTGGGTGGCTGGGTGCTATTGTGTGTGGGTGGGGTGGGGCTACATGCTGAGGGTGATGACTTTCTTCCTCTTGCCTGCAGGGGCCTAGCTCTTGCTGCTTTCCTGGGCCTGGTCCTGTGGCTGTCTCTGGACACCTCCCGGCGGCCTGAGCAACTGGTGTCCTTCGCAGGAATCTGCGTGTTCATTGCTCTCCTCTTTGCCTGCTCAAAGCATCATTGCGCAGTGAGTGCCAGTTGTGGGGCCCAGGGCTGGAAGTGTTTGCCTCTCTCTTCTGCCTCTAGGCTGGATCTGGGTGCTGGGGTATAGGCAGATGCTCCTGTTGGGAGAGGCTCAGGGCCTGTCCTGTGTGTATCAGGACAGGCTTCCTGTGAAGCAGAAGTCTTCAAACTCCCCAGCAGGGATGTCTCTCCAGACTCAGAGGCCACCAGGACATTTGTTTCCTTGGTGACATGTCCTCTGGTCAGTCTAATCCTGGTCTTCAGGTCTGTAGGCTCAGGAACTACCTCCACCCCAACCACAGAAAACACAGGCCAGAGCTCCAGTCTGTCTGCAGAGCCAAGGGTTTCCTGGAATCATTAGCTTAAAATAGTGCTTCTCAAAGTCTGCACCCCAGACCAACAGCAGCAGTGCCTCCATGGAACTTACCAGAAATGTACCTTCTTAGGCCCCACCCTAGGCCCACTGCATTAGAAACTCATGGGCAAGGGCAGCAATCATCCTGTCAGCAAGCACAATTCTGATGTGTACTAAATTCTGATGTAGACTAAATTCTGATATAGACTACATTCTAATGTGTACTAAATTCTGATGTGTACTAAATTCTGATGTATACTAAGGCAGGCATGCACCCATTTGGGAGGTCCCTGCCACGGGCAGATAGAACCTTCTCCCTCTGCCTCTGTAGCATCAGGATCCCTCCCTGTTTCACAGTGTGGCTACCACCTTCCCCAGGCTACCGCCAAGCCTCCCAGAAGGATGCACACCAGAGCTTGGACTTGCTGCTAAGGAATTATTAAATGCTGATCAGGGAACAGCAACCTGAGGAGCCCAGCTCTCATCTGCTGGGAGGGGCAGGGGGTGTGGGCATGGAGAGAGTTGGGGTTGAGGTGGATGGGAGCCCAGCCTGTGGAGGAGAGATTGGAGATGGTCAGGCAGACAGAGTTCACACGAGCTGGAGAGGAGCTGGGCCCAGAGCAGTCTGGTGCTGATCCTGAGGCCAGAGTCCCAGGCCACATCTCTGGCAGTGATGACCAGGAGACGAAGTGCGGTGGCATGCCCAAGGCTGGTCAGGTTTCACCTGAGTTCTTGGTTAGAATCTTGGCCCACCCCTGCCCACTGCCCAGGTCCATTCCTGCCAAGCACATGGCCTGTTCTGAATCCCAGGGAGGGATCAGGCAACAGTACTAGGCAACAGGCCTAGTACTCTGTCTGGCTCCAGCCCCATTCTCCAGGCAGGCCAATGCTCCTGGGCTCCCTCGGTAGCCAGTGCCCCCTGCTCTCACCCCCACCCAGCTCCCTGCCCATCCCTCAAGGAGCTGAACTCACCTTTCCGTGGGGTGGGGTGGCAGGTGTCCTGGCGGGCCGTGTCTTGGGGACTTGGACTGCAGTTTGTACTTGGACTCCTCGTCATCAGAACAGAACCAGGATTTATTGCGTTCCAGTGGCTGGGCGAGCAGATCCGGGTAGGTACATGGGACCTGGATGCCCAGAGCATCTTAGGTTACTGGGAGTAGGGGAGAAGCCACTTGGCAGGGGGAAAAGTGGGTGGTGAGGCCATAGAGATGGCTTGGGACCTGGAGGGTAGGGTAGACTGGGGGCCCCATACCAGGTGGGTAGCTGGGGCCCGGGCAGTGCAGCTGCCACTTCCCTCACACCTGGCACTGAGGCCCCAATAGAGTAGTCTTTTCAGAGGCTGGGTCTGCAATCAGCAGTGACTTGGAAATTGTAATAGTTAAAAGTGCTTTAAAAAAAATCTCCCCAAATCTGCAAATGATTTACTTCTGTGTGTGTGTGTTTAAAAATAATGTGTATTGAAGTAATACATTTTTATTCTGTTGTTGCTTTTTTTTTTCAAGACAGGGTCTCACTTTTGTCACCCAGGCTAGAATGCAGTGGCACAATCGTGGCTCACTGCAACCTCTGCCTCCCTGGTTCAAGCAATTCTCCTGCCTCAGCCTGCCCAGTAGCTGGGATTACAGGCACCCACCACCATGCCCGGCTAATGTTTGTATTTTTAGTAAAGACAGGGTTTCACCATGTTGGCCAGGCTGGTCTCGAACTCCTGACCTCAGACGATTTGCTTGCCTTGGCCTCCCAAAGTGCTGGGATTACAGGCGTGAGCCACCACACCTGGGCCCATTTTGTTTTGTTTTGAAACAGTCTTGCTCTGGCATCCAGGCTGAGTGCAGTGGTGTGAATACGGCTCACTGCAGCCTTGACATCCTGGACTCAAGTGATCCTCCCACCTCAGCCTCCCCAGTATTGAGTAGCCGGGACTACAGGTGTAAGCCACCATGCCAAGCTAATTAAAACATATTTTTTCTTTTTCTTTTTCTTTTTTTTTTTTTTTTTTTGTAGATACAGGGTCTCCCTATGTTGCCCAGGCTGGTCTCGAACTCCTGGGCTCAAGTGATCTCATCTTGAGCCATGGTGCCCAACCAATTTTGTTTTTTATTTTGGTAAAATATACAGAACATAAAATTGACCATTTTAACCACTTTTAAGTGTCATTAAATTCATGCACACTGTTGTACAACTATCATGATTTACTTTTGTCAAAAGAAAATTATAACAAATTTAGTTTAAAGATCTTAATTGGCTTTTACTTGTGATTTTAGAATGAGGCAACACCTCATTCTATAAAAATAGAGTGAGTGTTCCGATGAGTTGAGCAGAGGAGGTTGGCTTTATAGACAGAGAAAGGCTGAAGAAAGCAGAAACAGAAAACAAAAAGCAGAATGCTTGTTTTAAGGTCACTTTCCTTGTAAAGGTCAAAACTGAGGGGACTGCTTGTCATGCTGCATTTGGGGATATGGCTATATGTTCTCATTCCCCTGGTTTTTTGGAAGGTCAGGAGACAGCTTAGTTTTGACTTGTGATGTGGAACTTTATAGCATGAGCGATTCCATTTTGGTTTGGTCTGTTGGGCGAAGTGCAGGAGCTCAGTCCAAACCAATGGTCTCCTTTATTTAACACTTAGAATTTTTTTAATCTATTTATTTGTTTATTTATTTTGAAACCAGGTTATGAGACTAGCTACTTTTTCTATTTTCGGTAGAGACAGAGTTTCACCACGTTGCCAAGGCTGGTCTCAAAGTCCTGGGCTCAAGTAATCTGCCTCCCTTGGCCTCCCAGAGTGCTGGGATTACAGGCATAAGCCACCACGCTTGACCTTCTTTTATTTTATTTTAGTTTAGTTTAGATTAGTTTAGTTTAGTTTAGTTTTGAGACAGGGTTTCACTTCCATCACTCAGACTGGAGTGCAGTGGCGTGATCTTAGCTCATTGCAGCCTTGACTTCCTAGACTCAAGGGATGCTCCCACCTCAGCCTCCTGAGTAGCTGCGACTGTAGGTGTGAGCCACTATACCCGGCTAATTTTTGTGTTTTTAACACTTAAAAAAATATAAATTATCAAGGACATAGGTTAAATAGTTTAATCTACTTACCTCCCTCTCACCAGCTTGCAGTTCCCTGTGCTCTGTGCAGGGGGGAGCATGAGAACCCTGCCGGTCCAGGAATGTGCACACCTGCTGGTCTTGCTGAGAGTAACTGCACAGGGTGTGGAGGAAAAGACAGAGAGTTGCTTTTCTGGCTATGTCCCCATTTTATAGATGGGAACACTGAGGCCCGAACAAGAGAAATGACTTGCTGCCCCTGCAGTCACATTGCAAGTTCAGGATATAACACAGGTCTCCTGTAGAAGCGTGGCTGGACTCAGACTCCAAGGCCACAAGCCCGGGATGGGGACAAGATGAGGGGAGGCTTTGCTGTTGGTTGTCAGGGGCCTGAGCAGGCACAAAAGGCACTGCCTTCTTCACACGTCTCATGGTTACTTCCATTGTCTCTTCTTTATTGTCCTAACAACTGTCAGAGCATTTCTTTTTATTTTTTTTTGAGACAGAGTCTCGCTCTGTTGCCCAGGCTGCAGTGCAGTGGCACAAGCTCGGCTCACTGCAACCTCTGCCTCCTGGGTTCAAGCAATTTTCCTGCCTCAGCCTCCCGAGTAGCTGAGATTACAGGCGCCCACCACCACGTCGGGTAATTTTTGGGTTTTTGGCAGAGACGGGGTTTCACCATGTTTGCCAACTGGTCTCGAACTCCTGACCTCAGGTAATCCGCCTGCCTTGGCCTCCCAAAGTGCTGAGATTACAGGTGTGAGCCACCGCACCCAGCCTACAGAGCATGTCTTTAAAATTGACCAAAAAGGTGTCTCTTTGGCAAACATGCTTAGGAGCGAGTGCCCGTGGCGGTAGCTTTAACACTCCTTGCCAGGTGGTGCCCACCCCAATAAGAGCCTGGGGGGACTATGTCCCTGGGCCAAACCGCCTGTCTCTGGTCGCTGCTTCCTCCCTCCTCCCTTTCCAGCCTCATTGCCTGTTTTTGTTTTGCATTTTTCTTTCAGATCTTCCTGAGCTACACGGAGGCTGGCTCCAGCTTCGTGTTTGGGGAGGCGCTGGTCAAGGATGTCTTTGCCTTTCAGGTCAGCTTGACTCAGGGTCCCAGAGGCCTTTAGCAGCCACTGCCCAACGACTCCAGCTAGAGGGGAGTCTGGGCATGGTGGGGGCCCAGGTGGAAGGGGGGAGTCCTATGGGCAGAGGTCGCCGTACTGGGAAGTTAGTGAACCTTACGTCTGGAGCCTGGGAGGGGCCCAGCAATGTTCACCTCATGAGATGTTTTTACTATATTTTGTAAAATTTGCAAAAGTAAGATATTTCTGTATGTTTTTTTCTTAGAGATGACCCTCTAAATTATAGAATTACTGAGTAGCTGAGGACAAGAAGTGGGGGTAGGGGTCATGGGGATAGCTCCTGCTGAGACCTTAGCCCCTGATGTGCTGCAGAGACTCTGCGTCTAGACAGAGCAGTTTCCAGGAAGGCTTAGGCTCAAATGATCCTCTCAGGTGCTCCTCCTTCAGGGCCCCTCACAGGCCACCTCTGCCAGGAAGCCAGCCTTTACTAGTCCCACTGCAATAGCTCCTTCCTTCGTGTCCTCCTAGACCTATGATCCCACCTTCCCTCCTCCCTCCCTGCCTCCATCCATCCTTCCTTTCTTTCTTCCAACAAAAATCTATTGTGCATTTACTGCACTGCAAAATATTATAGGGGAAATGGAGATAAAGGCACTGTTCTGTTTCAAAGAACTTATTGTCTAACGGTGGAGCCTCAACCCTAATTTAAAAACAAAGCAGCCTGTGCAAAGGATGAGGATGCTGCCGGTGGGACCCTTCACTGTTCTGGGTGGAGCTGTGGATGTATTTCTTTTTTCCCCAGTTAACTGTTTAAGCACTGAAATGCCTTGTTTAGTAAGAACTCTAGTGTAGCCCTCCTCTGTCTGCCTTACACTCCAGTTGTCTAAGACCAGCTTGCTCTAGGCTTAAGCTCCACTTGCCAGGCAAAAGAGAGAGACTTGGGGCCCCACTTACCCAGTAGCTGACCCCAGTTTTCTGCCACTGATGCATGGCACTGAGAGGAAAATCAGGGCTACCCACTCTTGGTACATCCGGGACCACCATCACCATGGAGCTGCTATGCAAGACCCCATGTGCAGGTTCTAGAGGTTTCTGCTGTTTTTCATTATGCTGGCCACTGTTCCCAGAGCCTCCCCACCTGCTGGGGGTCTTGGACTCAGGAGACTTTTGGCCCAAGCCATGGACTTGGCTATGGACTTCTGGACTGGCGTTGAGCCATGTCAGGAGTTCAGACCCTCCTGCCTACCCCTGACCCTGAGCTCTGGGGAGTTCCCCTTGGAGCCTTAGCGTCTCTTGTGCCAGCAGACTCCCTAGGGAATGTCCAGTCTAACACTGTCAGCCCTAGGAGGAAAGGGAGGGGCCCAGGTTCCTATCTTCTCTGAAGTCTTCTTGCCCCCTGGGCATACTTGCCCATCATGTTTTCTGAGACCAGTTCTGTATAGGGAGAATATTGGGAGGGGGAACCTATGTCAGCCCCGCAAAGGCCCCTAATACCATATTCCTTTAGGGTAACGAGCAGCTGCTCCCTTACCTTTGCATAACCAGTACGGGGGTACTGAGGTTTCAGAAAAGACCAGTAAGGTCTGCTTTAGGGTGACTTCCGGCGTCCACCCAGGCAGGAGGCAGGGAGGTTCCCGCAGCTTCTCATACTTTAAAACACACACGCTCAGCCAGGCACGGTGGCTCATGCCTGTAATTCTAGCACTTTGGGAGGCCGAGGCAGGTGGATCACCTGAGGTTGGTAGTTTGAGACCAGCCTGACCGACATGGAGAAACCCTGTCTCCACTAAAAATACAAAATTAGCGGGCTGTGGTGGCATGCCTGTAATCCCAGCTACTCGGGAGGCTGAGGCAGGACAATCGCTTGAACCCAGGAAGCGGAGGTTGCCATGAGCCGAGATCGCGCCATTGCACTCCAGCCTGGGCAACAAGAGCGGAACTCCGTCTCAACAAAACAAACACACACACACCCGACACTCTGCAGTTCAGCCTCCCCAGGCAGCTGGGTTCAAGTGCAATAAAGGAGGGGCCTGAGGAGTGCCTATAAGGAGAGATTCTTCCAACAAGAGACCATGAGGGAGACTCCTTGAGGAGGTGGCATTTGATATGGAGTTTAGGACAGAAGAGATTTGGACACACTGAGCTAGACAGGAAGAGGAAATGGCATGGGCAAAGCGTGGAGGTGAGAAAATACTAGCGTGTCCACAGTGCAGGGCAGAGTTCAGTGGACGGGCATGTAAGCTGTTTCCCAAAGGGAAATTAAAGCCTCGTTAGCCAAAAAGCAAGGGAAGAGGTGCTGGGCAGGCCACGCAGCTGCTGTCCGCCAGCACCCCTTCCCCCGCCCACCACTAGCCAGCATCTCTCCTGCGTCATAGCTGGGCTTGCCTCTGTGTCTGCCCCCTGGCCACATTAGCTGTGTCTCCTCAAATCCTGCCTCCCTTTCTGGAAGGATGTGCGCACACCTGCTGCTTGTATCTCTCCCAGAATCACCCTTTAGAATCATGGATTCCTTGACTGTTGGTACCAGGAGGGAGTTCAGTGACGTTTGGGCCTCCCTTTTGTATTACTGATGGTCCAGCCAAGCCCCAGAGAGGAGCAGTGAACTGGCTACAATGGCACAGTGAGTTAGGGCAGAGCCAGAACTAGACCCCCTCCACTGGACTTCTGGTTAAGGGATGTATTCTTCCTCATACTATCAGCAGAAATCAGCGGCCTCATGTCTCTCCTCCAAATACAAAAAACACACTGAATAACAAAAATGATCATTTAAAAATGTAGCCATTAGGCTGGGTGTGGTGGCTCACGCCTGTAATGCCAGTACTTTGGGAGGCTGAGGTGGTCTGATGACTTGAGTTCAGGGATTCGAGACCAGCCTGGCCAATATAGTGAAACCCCATCCCTACTAAAAATACAAAAATTAGCCAGGCATGGTGGCGGGTGCTTGTAATTCCAGCTACTCAGGAGGCTGAGGCAAGAGAATGGCTTGAACCCGGGAGACGGAGGTTGCAGTGAGCAGAGATCATACCACTGCACTCCAGCCCAGGCAACAGAGCGAGACTCTGTCAAAAAAAAAAAAAAAAAAAAAAAAAGAAGAAGAAGAAGAGGAGGAAAAGGAAGAAGAAGAAGAAGAGGAAGAGGAGGAGGAGGAAGAGGAAGAGGAAGTGGAAAAAGATGCATCAGTGGTGTCAAAAAACTTTGAAGTGGAATGTTCAGTTAAGATAAAAACAATGGTGAGCTGGGTTTATCATTAACCAGCCTCAGCATTTCCCAGCCAAACACTAGCAGTTTCCTGGCCTCTGGTAGGCCCTGTCCTCTGGACAAATTCCTGGACAGTGTATTGGCTGATGCGCCATCCTTAGCAATGCTGGGAAAGATGAAGGAGGACTAGGATAAATGCTTCATGGCCACAGAATTCTCTTTCTCACTAATCACAACATTTTATTCAGCCTCTCACTCTCCCCTGTATCACACACATATGCTTGGAATTTGCCCTCAAGGTAGGGGTGGTTTCGTTGAATGCTGAGCTGAACAGAAGACTCAGGACGTTCTCTCTGTTCTTTCTATGAATCATACAGACCTAGTCCAAGGCCTTTGGCCAATTTCAGCCTGGGGAAGTCTTCTCTGAGCTCACTCAGATTTTCAGAATCCAAGCTGCTTCCTGCTGGGCCATGGTCCAGCTGCTCTCTTCTGGGGGGAAGTAAAATCTCTCCCTGGGGCTTCCTCAGTCCTCAGCCTGCCCTGGGCCTGGAGTCCAGTACAGTGGATGTGGACGTGGCAGTCACCCCTTGGCTGGATCAGCTGGATTAGTCATTCCACCTTGGCTTCGACTCCCTTCTAGTAACTTTCCACCCGCATGATCATACTCCCCTGGGTCTGGCTGACCCGGGAGCAGACTCTCATTCTTTCACTATTGTTCTAGCCTCCGGAACAAGCACCCACTGCTAAGCTCAGCAGTGCTGCTCACATTTCTCTGGAGGAACCCCTAGGGTCAAGGAAAATGTCTTCATCTCCTGAGAGTTTCGGGATGTCTGACATAGACTTGTAATCCCCAGTGGTCAACAGTGCCAAATTTTGCACACACACACACACACACACACACAAAGATCAAATAAGGACCAAAAGGTATCATTGGATTTGGTAGTTAAGGGGTAACCGGTAACCTTAGTGAGCATGGTTTTCAGTGAAGGGAATGGGAAGTAAGTGAAGCCTGGGGTGGGATGGCTGAAAGAAGGGAGATGGGACAGTTGAGGCAGGAGGCATTGTTGAAAATCCGGGATCCAGGCAGAAATAGTAATGAGGGGCAGAGTGCTGAGGCCATTCTGGGCAAAGGGATGGCACAAACAGGAAATCAGGAGGTGTAGCTAGGGGACAGCCAGAAATGCAACTGTTTTGGACTTGAGTCCCTTCCACCTTCTGGCGATGGCACTGGTACAGTGTGCACCGCAGCTGCTGCCCCGAGCATCTTCCAACTTTGGGTTTTTGTGGCTCACTGTGGCCTGGGGCTGGTGACAGGGCACTGTCGACAGTGCTCAGGCCTTGGGGTCTGGGGACATGAGGGTTTGCCCAGACAGCCTTAGGAAGTCAGCAGGACCCCTGGCTCAGCTTCCTCCAGGGAGAGGAGGAAGCAGGCCATGTCCTTAGTGGGTTTTGTCTGGCCTTCAAAGCCTGTTTCTTGGCCCAGGTGATGAAGTTTGCTCAGAGTGTCTAATCTAGGCTCCAGGGCTGTGGTTGTCAGAGTGTGGTGTCCAGGTCAGCTGCACCAGCAGCATCTGGAAAGGCCAAACATCAGGCCCCACTGTAGACCTATTAAATCCAAAATATTTCTAGCAAATTCTCAGAGGTGCTGCTGATCCACGTGCTGAGAACCAGTGGCCTAGAAGAGCTAGAATATCCTTCTTCCTTGAGTTATGGTACTAGCAGGACCAGCCTCCAAAGCCATTTCTACAAGGCAGTGGTCAGGACTTACTTGGCTCTTCCTTGAAGGGGACTGCCTTAGTCCGTCGAGGAGGCCATAATGAAAACCGTAGACTGGGTGGTTACAAGCCACAGAAATTTATTTCTCACACTTCTGGAAGTCTGAGATCAGGGTCCCTGCAAGGTTGAATTCTGTTGAGGCCCACTTTGCTCTCTGCCCACTTGGTCGTCTGTGTCCTCACATGGTAAAAGAGGTGAGGGAGCTCTCTGGAGCCTCTTTTGGTTTTTCTTTTTATCTTTTTGAGACAGGATCTCACTCTGTTGCCCAGGCTGGAGTGCAGCGGTGTGATCACTGCTTGCTGCAGCCTCCGTCTTCTGGGCTCGTGATCCTCCTGCCTCAGCCTCCAAAATAGCTGGGACTACAGGCGCATACCATCATGCCTAGCTAATTTTTTGAATTTTGGTAGAGACAGGGTCTTACTATGTTGCCAGGCTGGTCTTGAACTCCTGAACTCAAGGAATCCTCTGGCCTCAGCCTCCCAAAATGCTGGGATTACAGGTGTGAGCCACTGTGCCTGGCATGTGGCCTCTTTTATAAGGGCACTAATCCCATTCATGAGGGCTCCACCCTCATAACCTAATCACCCCCAAAGACTCCACCTGCTAATACCATCACCTAGGGAATTAGGTTTCAATATATGAATTCACGGGGACACAGACATTCAGTTTCCAGCAGGGATGCATGCTGCCCCTGAAGGCAGAGAAACAAGCCTCCAGGACTGTTCCCAAGGGGCATGCTCCCAAGGGGCATGGCAGGACCTTGGCAATCTGCATGGTGCCTGGGAGATACATCTGCCTCTTTGCAGGTATGTGACCTCGGGTGGGTAGCCAAGATCTCACAGCCTCCGTGTGCCCATTTGTGAAGTGGGGACAGTTACATCCACCACAGATGCCATGAGGATTGATGAGTCTCCACATATTAGGGACCTGACCCAGGGCAGGCCCTCGTGCCTCCCCTTTCCACAGCAGCACTGCCTCGAGCTGCTGCCCTGTTCTTCTGCCATGTCACATCCTGCAGGCCCCAGAGGCGTTTCCTGGCTGTAAGATGATATTGGCCACAGGGACCTTATTTAGTTTTCTATCCTACCTTAGAAAATTGGGGCCGCCTCTTTTCTCTTTTATGCCCCTCCCCTCCCTAGACAGTCCCCACTTAATCCAAAACATAGCTTCTCTTCCACCATAAATCTCCATCTCACAGATAGAAAATCTTTTGATTGCTGGCAGGAGAAAGTCCCAATGTTGCAGTGGGGTCCCGATGCCCCAGGCACTCTCCTTCCTGGCGTGGGCCCATCCCTGCAGGCCTGCCAGCTGCCTGGCAGTCTCTCTCAGGATCCACTGGACAAGCAGTCTAGACAGTACGTGACCCTCTCTGCATCTCAGTCCCAGGAGTGGCGGAATGATGTCATCATACCCGTGCTGGAGGTGTTTCTAGACCCGGGGGGAGGAGGAGTCATGGGGCAGGAAAAGGGTTTCTTGAGCCAGTTCTGGTGTTCTCTGTCAGATGACTTCCCCACCACAGTGAAGTTGGTGACAGATGACAGCAGAGCAAGTCCAGATACCACCTGCAGCATTGGTCTGGGAAGGGACAGGAGAAAGAAAAGGCCTCAGCAGGGCTTGCTTCCCAGCTGCCTGGGGCAGAGTCTCCATTCTCTTCAGGGTCCATTCTGTAATCCCAGTTCACTTTGAACTAGAGCCTAAATTTGGTTGCTCAAGACTCTTGCTCCTTAAAAAATAAAAGCAGCCCTTTCTGGGCCCCTCACTAGTCTCCAGCAGTGAGCACAGTGCTGCTTCTTGCGAGGGCTGTCCATTCTTGTGGTCTCTCCTTCTTCATGTCCCACTTCCACCTTGGCTCACTGACATCAGCCTCAGTCCCCACCCCTCCTCTGCCACTGCTCTCACCTAGATCATGGGCACCTCCAAGTTGCTAAGTCCCAGGGGTCCAGCTCAGTCCTTACCTTTCCAGAGTTCTCTGATGCCCCTGACACAACTGCTAGTGACTATTCCTTCTGGAAAAATTGCCCCTCGGTTTCTATCCCACCTCTCTCCTGGCCATCCTCCAGCCCTTGGCTATTTCTTTGTCTCCTTCACAGGCTTCTCCTTCCCCTGTCACCCTTCAGTGACACGCTGACCACAGGGCCCTGTCCTTAGCCCCTGCGCGTCTCACTCAGGGTGATTTCCACAGTGAATTGTATCCACCAGCCATCTCTACGTGTCGTTGTTGTTCCTCTTCTAATTTTTTTTTCTTGTTTGTTTGTTTTGTTTTGTTTTTTTAGACAGGGTCTCACTCTGTCACCCCAGGCTGGGGTGCAGTGGGATGATCTCGGCTCACTGCAACCTCTGCCTCCTGGGTTCAAGCAATTTTTGTGCCTCGGCCTCCCTAGTAGCTGGGATTATAGGTGCCCGCCACTACGCCTGGTTTATTTTTTTGTATTTTTAGTAGAGGCGGGGTTTCACTGTGTTGGCCAAGCTGGTCTCGAACGCTTGACCTCAAATGATCCACCCACCTCAGCCTCCCAAAGTGCTGGGATTACAGGTGTGAGCCACCGTGCCTGGCCTTCTTTTTTAAATTTTTTTAAAATTTTATTTTAAGAGATAGGGTCTCACTCTGTTGACTGGGCTGTAGTGCAGTGCCATGATCATGACTCACTGCAGCCTCGAACTCCTGGAATCCGGTGATCCTCCCACTTCAGCCTCCAAAGCAGTTGGAACCACATGTGTGTACCACCATGCCCAGTTATTTAAAACAATTTTGTATGTATAGAGTTGGGGGCCTTGCTTTGTTTCCTAGTCTGGCCTCAAACTCCTGAGCTCAAGCAATCCTCCTGCCTTGGCCTCCCAAAGTGCTGGAATTAAAGGCATGAACCACTATGCTGGGCCAACCTGTATTTCTTATGAAAGAGCCCCAAGGCCTGGCCCAGATCTCCCCTCTCAGCTCCCAATCCTTTATCCAGCCGCCCACTTGATATTCCACAGGCATCTCTTGCACATCCTTCTAATAATTCCTGCACCCATACAAGATCACACACAATGCCCCTCACACACATGTTTTTGGAGAGGAAGGGGACCTTACTATGTTGCCCAGCCTGGCCTTGAACTCCCGGGCTCAAGCAATCCTCTTGCCTCAGCCTCCTGAGTAGATGGGACTATAGACACATGCCACCATGCATGGCTACCCCCTACCCCCTTTTTAAACCCACATAACAGCATAGCATACACTCTTGTGGTACACCTTCTCTTTATTTCATTTAACAACATATCTTGGAAATCAGTCCACAGCTGCCCATAGAGAGTTTCTGCATTCTTGTTTCCTGACCTTTAGTGCACTGGTGTATGTCTGTATCCTAGGTGATGCAACTAGTCTCTAAAAGACCTCTCCGTTTTTTGCCAGTTTGTTATTAAACATCAGACTACAGTAAAGAAAGACCAGGGTGCAGAAAAGCAACCTCCTTTTCCATGGGCCTGGAAAGGAGGGAATGGGTGTGAGAAATTCTGAAGGGAGAATGGGTGAGCTTGGAGTGAAGGAAGAGGAGTGTTCAGCCTGATACTCATAATAGGAGATGGGGTGATGGGAGGAGATGCTGGCTCAGGTCCGGGGTAAGCCTAATTCTGAGCTTGTTGGTGCTGAGCGGAAGTGGAGTACCAAAATGGTGAGGGTCCCCTCATTCAGGCCCAAAGCACGAGAGGGAGGTTAAGGCCAGAGTCTGAGGCCAAGGATTGAGCTCATGGAGAAGGGTGCACAATGCCACCCTCACAATGACCCTCAGATGTGGGCATTTTACTCCCATTTTAGAGACAAAGAAGCAGGAGATAAAAGTGGTGCACTCAGGCCCCACCCTACCACAGCACAGGCCTACCTGTGCTGAGGAGAGAGGGATGGTCTGGTGGCTGGTCACTATTTAGAGGGGAGCCGAGAGGACAAGACTGCATCCAAAGAAGCCCTGCATGTGGAACACCTGGGACTTCATGCACTGATCTCAGAGCATCTTCCCAGATCCTGTCAGGCATCTGAGTGGCAAGGCCTGGGAGGGAGTGGGCTGTCTGGGGTCTCCTGGACCCTGCCTGGCACCCTGCAGCCTGCCTGCCTCTAACCTGTGGTCCTATGCTCTCCTTCCCGGCAGGTTCTGCCCATCATTGTCTTCTTCAGCTGTGTCATATCGGTTCTCTACCACGTGGGCCTCATGCAGTGGGTGATCCTGAAGGTAAGTTCCCAGTGCCCGTGACCTGGGCTCTCCCAGAGTCACCAGCTCACAGGGTTCACACTCTCCCAGAATGCCTTGCTCCCAGAGCGCAAACCTCCCCAAATACACTGCTCCCCAAGCCCATACCCTTCCAGAATTCCCTGCTCCCAGCACCTCCACCTTCCCAAAATTCCCAGCTCCCAAGTTCCACACCTTTCTGGAATCCCTTGCTTCTGAGGCCCATACCTTCCCAGAATCCCCTACTCTTAGAGTTCACAGTTCACACCTTCCTAGAATCCTTTGCTCCTGAGGTCCATACCTTCCCTGAATCCCCTGCTTCCAGGATCTTCAGCCTCACAGAATCTAGCACTGACCAAATATCCTTTCCCAAGGTCTCCTGTCATGATACCAAGGAGAAATAGCACCAAAGTCTAAAGTGGTCTTTCCTGGAGGAAATGTTGCAGTTTTGAGGCTGAATTGAAAAGGTGTAGAAGAAGAAAAATAATTTATACTGAAAAGATATTGAGAGACTGTAGCAGTGGGCCATATTGGCCGGACTCAGCTGGTATAAATGTTAGATCCTGTGCTTATGTTCATAAAATCTGCTGCACAAAACCAGGATGTAGGAGATAGCATTGGACAGCAACAGATAGCATTGGACCTGGCAAAAGATTCCAAGGTTTTAGTTGATTGAGCTCAGAATAAATCAGCAACATCAGATGGCTGCCAGAAAGGCAAAAACAACCTGTGGTTATTGTCTTTGTTCATTTTCTGTTGCTATAACAGAATATCACAGACTGGGTAATTTATAAAGAAAAGATATTTATTTGGCTCATGGTTCTGGAAGCTGGGAAGGCCAAGAGCATGGCACTGACATCTGGTAAGGGCCTTCTTGCTGTGTCATAACATGGTAGAAGGGCAGAAGGCAGAATTGAGCACACAAGACACAGAGAGAGCAGGGCCAAACTTATCCTCTTTATCGAGTTCACTCCCATGATAACCAAACTACTCCTGCAGTAACAGCATTAATCCATTCATGAGGGCAGACCCTTCATGACCTAATCACCTCCTCAAGGTCATGCCTCTCAACATTGTTATGATGGGAATCAAATATATATATATTTTTCTCTGGCAATCAAATTTCAACATGAGTTTAGGTGGGGTTATTTAAACCATAGCAGTTGTGTTAAGAGCCCACACAGCATAGCATAAAGGAGGTGATTCTCCCCAGACCTGGAGACTGTGTTCAACCAAGAGGCTATGACAAACTGAACTATAAGCAGGAGAGTGAAAGGGCTTGAAACCATACCCTCTACAAAATGGTTGAAGGAATAAGGAACGAGGAGCCTGGAGAAGAGGAAGTTAGGGGAGGATAGCTGTCTCTGAATACTGACAGAAGAGAGATTAGGGAAAGGGCAGCCTGAGAGGCACCAGCAGTGGATAGAATTCCAGGGAAGCAGATTTCATCTTGATTAAAAAGAAGAACTTTCTAATTGGGCATGGTGGCTCACACCTGTAATCCCAGCACTTTGGGAGGCCAAGGCAGACGGATCACCTGAGGTCAGGAGTTCGAGACCAGTCTGGCCAACATGGTGAAACTTCGTCTCTACTAAAAATACAAAAATTAGCCGGGTGTGCTGGTGGGTGCCTGTAGTCCCAACTACTCAGGAGGCCGAGGCAGGAGAGTTGCTTGCACCTGGGAGGCAGAGGTTGCAGTGAGCTGAGATTGTGCAACAGAACGAGGCTCTGTCTCAAAAAAAAAAAAAAAGAAAGAAAAAAAGAAAAAGAAAAGAAAAGGAAAACGCTTTCTAACACAGTGTTTCCCAAAATCTTTTCCACAAAACTCTAGTTCCACAGCATGTTAGTAAATGTTACTAGGTAAAGGTAGCCTGATCCCATGGTCAAATAATTTAGGGAAACTAGGCTAGACATTATGCTACATAAATTTAAACAAGCTTAATGCAGGACTTCTCAGAGGCTTTACTAAGCTAATGTGTATTGGTAATCTCTAAGGGGTGTGTGTGTGTGTGTGTGTGTGTGTGTGCGCGCGTGCAATTCGCAATTCTCAAATATATTTGGCCAGGAAATCCTTTCTGCATTCCTATGGCGAAATGGGTGGCCTTGGGAAGGGGTAAGCCCCTATCGATGAAGGTGTGGAAGAAGATTATGAATTGACCTTTTGGGAAAATGTAGATGAGGGGATCCTTCACTGGGCTGGGAGTTGGGAGGAAGGTGTGTCAGGTCTTTCACTCCAGCCCCCTTTGACTCTGGGGTTTGCTGATGTCCGCCAACAAGGAACACTCTGCTTCCTTCTAGATTGCCTGGCTGATGCAAGTCACCATGGATACCACAGCCACTGAGACCCTGAGCGTGGCTGGAAACATCTTTGTGAGCCAGGTGGGTATGGCAGCCTCCTACCTTCATGCTCATCAGCAGCTTCCCCAAAGAGGGCAGCTTCCCTAGATCCCCAGAGCTCTGATTTAGTCCAAGGAAGAGCCGTTTGAACCTTCTCCCAGGGTCCTCAAATTCTGCTGCCCCAGGGCTACGCTGTTTGGGGGATGACTGGGTCGTGCCAGGGAGGATGTCATCTGTCTGGCTTCTCTTACCACTCTAGCCCTAGGTGGTCTTCATCAGCCTGAAGACTCACAGCTCCTACAGATGGAGTCCAGTTTCTCATCTTATACATGAGGAAACAGGCTCAGGGGATGGGAACCCCTTGACCAAGATCCCACACGTATAAGCCATGGCTTCGAATCCAGGTTTTCTTCTTTCTGGTCAGAATTTTTTCCACTGCATTATTTTGTCTTTTCTTTTCTCCCTCTTTCTTAAAATGTATTTTCCGAAGTAAATGTGACTCTGAAAGCACCCTTGGTGCTGAGTCCCTTTCAGAAAGCCTGATCCCCTGAGGATGGCCCTCTGGAGACTCTGCCAAGGCTTGCCCTGGCCCATCTGCTTAATGTTTGAGTCACCAAGAGACACTCTTGTCAAAAGATGCCATATTTCACTGTACAGTTTAGGAAACTTTGGGGAATATTTTTATCTTTTTTTCTGTGGTGCAAGTGTGTTGATTTGAAAGTTTTTTTTCTGGTTGTTTTTTGTTTAGTTTTGTCTTGTTTTTAGCCAATGAAGATAGACATACTCTCAGATAAATTGTCAGAAAAGTCCCTTAAGGTGTTCAAAATGAGGCAAAAGAGGAAAACACTATTAAAATGCAAAGCAGTTATTTTATATGAAAGGCTGCAAATGTGTTCCATGTGTTTTGCTGGGAAAATATGTAGGCGGGGTGACATTGGGCGACGTGAAGCGCTGCCAAGGTGAATTCATTTCGGACAAGTTGTTGGTCAAGCTGACCTAGGTGCCAGGGTCTGTGCCTCATTTCCCCCAAGAAGGGGGAATGGGGAGCCTTCAGGGGTCAGTGATATCATTTCAACCTCTCTACATGTGGCAGGCCTGGGCCCTCTCCTCTTGTCCATCCACACTGCCTCCCTGCAGGATCACATTAGCCCCATGGCTTTAAATGCTCTAAATGCCTCCCAGGTCCTGCTCTGCAGTCCTGACCTCCCATGAACTCAGGAGTGACAGGTCAACTGGCCCCTTGACCGTCCACTTGGAGATTTAAGGGGTGTCTCACATTAAGATGCTAAGCCCAAACAACCAGAACTGTTGCTCCCCTCCCTCATCACCTCTGCCCCTCTGAAGCCCTTCCCCTCTCAGCAGGTGGGAACATCTTCCACAGGATCATTCAGTTGGAGCTGGAAGAGCTGCCCTGCCTTCCTCCACTTCCCCCACCACGGCATCCAGTCTATCAGCATTCCCACAGCGCTGCCTCTGTGGCCCATCTACAACCCCCGGCTGCCCGGGCCACCTGCCTCTCACCTGAACACTGCTGTCTCCTCCTACCTCTTCTCCCTGCCCCTACTATCTGTCCTTCACTCATACACCCGAGTGACCCTTCATACACACAAAGCAGATGATTCCACTCCCGCCTAAGCAAGCTCACCCCTCACCCCGGCTTCCCAGCCCCTCTGTGGCACACCTGCCCCCTCTGCCTCCATCTCAGGCAGCTCCCCCACGCCCATCTGCAGCAGACATGCTGACTGCTATGGCTTCTGGACTTTGCAGAGCTTCTTGCTGCTTTAGGGCCTCCGCTGTTCGCTTGCCTGGAATGCTGTGCTATCAACCCATGTCACTGGCTCCTTCAGGTCTCAGCCAACCCTAACCTAATGTCACCTCCTCAGAGAGGCCTTTGCCGATTTCTCAGTTTTTTTGTTTTTGTTTTCTGAGATGGAGTCTCACTCTGTCACCCAGGCTGGAGTGCAGTGGCACAATCTTTGGCTCACTGCAACCTCCACCCCCCAGGTTCAAGTGATTTTCGTGCCTAAGCCTCCCTAGTAGCTGGGATTACTGACATGTGTCACCATGCCCGGCTAATTTCAGTATTTTTAGTTGAGATGGAGTTTCACCATGTTGGCCAGGCTGGTCTGGAACTCCTGACCTCAGGTGATTCTACCACCTCGGCCTCCCAAAGTGCTGGGATTACAGGCATGAGACACCATGCCTGGCCTACTCAGTTTTAAACACCCCTAACCAGTAGGCATTCTCACACATATCTTCATAGCTTTCATCACCGTCTAAAATGACATTGCTTACCTGCTTGGTTCCTTGTTGATTATCTATATCCTCCCACCACCTGCTAAAGCTCCCCTCCCGCCCTCCACTGCTCCCAGGATAGAAGCCCCGTGAAGGCAGGGACTTTATCCTGTTGACCCCATGTTCCTATTCTATAGAACAGTGCCTGGAACACAGTAAGCACTCAGTAACTAGTTACTGAGTGAATAACGAAGGGCTTCAGGCTGCCCAGATGCCCAGAAATGCACCCCTCATCCAATGCCGCAGCTTCTTTCTTTCGGTCACCACTGTGGCTGCAGGAGAGCTTGGGCCTGCAGCAGGATCTGCTTCCCATCCATTTACGTGAGCAGGGGTCATTCCTGGAACCCCTCTGAACCTCTTTTGCTCTCCTGGAAAACGGAGATGCCCACTTCTATCTTAGAAGGTTGTGAGTAACAAAGGTGACGTGCCTAGCAGGGTACCTGGCACGTGGCAGGCTGTCGACACAGGGGAGCATTGTCAGGCCGGGAGGGAGGGATGCGGGTCTTTCTGCAGAGATGGGCAATGCTGAGGTTCAGAGAGGCTCAGCCAAGTACGGACACTGGTCTTTACCCCACCCTGCTGCCTCTTACCGTGGGACTCCCAGGCACTGACTGTGACCTGTGGAGGGGGAGGGTGTGCCCAACCACCCCCACCCTGCTTGTCTGACATCTTTCCTCTTTGCAGACCGAGGCTCCATTACTGATCCGGCCCTACTTGGCAGACATGACACTCTCTGAAGTCCATGTTGTCATGACCGGAGGTTACGCCACCATTGCTGGCAGCCTGCTGGGCGCCTACATCTCCTTTGGGGTAGGCAGAGCCCTGCTTCTGCTCGGCTATGTGGAGGACCTGAAACCCATCTTTGTGGGAGCCCCACACAGCTCCTGGCCAGAGCAGCCCTGGGATCTTCTCTCTTGGGCCTGCTGTGCTGGCAAGAGGAGTGGCTTCCCCTGAACCAGGCTGGACCATTTGCTCGGGCTTTGTGCATGGCCGCCTGGGGCAAAGCTGCCCGGTGTTCCATTTACTGAGTGCATACTAGGTGCCAAGCAGTATGCTAGGTGTTTTAATAGCCCCATTTTCCAGATGAGAAAATTGAGGCTCCAGAGTAAGTGAGATGCCCAAACCCAGATCTGTCTGACTCCAAAATTCATGCTCGTTTCTCCAGTCTCACACCTGGGCTGTCCCTAGAGATCCGTCCTACTCCTTCCCTCCTCCCCTTCCCCACACTCTCTCTGGGCCCAAGTCCTGCCTCTGCTCCTAAATTATTTCCTGTGCAGTTTACACAGCATAAAGCATTTGTAAGTCAAAATCCAGTGGTGTGAATTAGGCCCTTAAAGCAATCACAGTGCTACTGCATGGCGGGTAGAGGGGAATTTTCAAATGCATCCCTCACATAATGCCCGGTAATAATGCTTTACTTTCGTAAAACACCTTGTGCTTTCACACTTGTGCTTTCACAGGCAAATCTTCAAAGGTCTCAATTTTATTTCCTTAATGATCAAAGAAATTCTTGCTTATTGCAGAAAGGAAAAAGTTTTTAATTCTCTTTCTTAACCCCACTTCCCGTGGGTAACTGCTTCTATTTTTTAATTTTCTATTTGAATTTTTTTTTTTTTTTTGAGATGGAGTCTTGCTCTGTTGCCAGGTTGGAGCGCAGTGGCACAATCTCGGCTCACTGCAACCTCCAGCTCCCTGGTTCAAGCATTTCTCCTGCCTCAGCCTCCTGAGTAGCTAGGATTACAGGCACACCCCACCATGCCAGCTAATTTTTTTTTTTTAAGTAGAGACGGAGTTTCACCATGTTGGCCAGGATGGTCTCAAACTCCTGACCTTGTGATATGTCTGCCTCAGCCTCCCAAAGTGCTGGGATTATAGGCATGAGCCACCTCGCCTGGCCCGGTAACTGCTTTTAATAGCTTAGAACAGCTATTCTCAAAGTGGGGTTCATGGACCAGCATTGTCAGCATCACCTGAGAACTTGTTAGAAATGCAAATTATTGGGCCCATCCTAGACCTGCTGAATCAGAGACGATGGGGGAGGCCAAGGCAGGTGGATTGCCTGAGGTCAGGAATTCAAGAGCAGCCCGGCCAACATGGCGGAATCTTATCTCTACTAAAAATACAAAAAAATAGCTGGCCATGGTGATGGTGCTTGTAACCCCAGCTACTTGGGAGGCTGAGGCAGGAGAATCACTTGAAACTGGGAGGCGGAGGTTGCAGTGAGCTGAGATAGCACCCCTGCACAGCAGCCTGGGCAACAGAGTGAGACTCCATCTCAAAAAAAAAAAAAAAAGAAAAGAAATGATGGGGGTGGGACCAACATACTGCGTTGCAACAGGCCTCACAGGTGATTCTGATGCTCGCCCAGTTTGAGACCCACTGACCTAAAATGTCATTCCAAATCTTTCTGTGTAAGCAGTCTTTTAGGTATATACACCTGAGTACTCCCATACTTTCTCTTTTTTTAAAAAATAAAAGATGAGAATCATTGATAAGGAGAAAATAGTTCATAAATTATAAAAAGATAGTCAAGCTCACTGATGTTCAAAGGAATTAAAATAATAATAACTTAATTTCTTCTAAGTGATATGCAACCCATTACATGCCTCCAAATGGCAAGAGTATGTGGTACTCACCCACTCATGGTAAGAGTTTAATTTAGTGTAACCTTTTTGGTGAATGACTATCAGTCTATTTATTATATATTTATTTTATTATATATATAATATTTTATTATTTTATCATATATCACTTTCAAAACTTTATTTATATAATAAAATATTATATTTTTATTATATAGATCACTTAAAAATATTTATTTTTTCTTTTTTAACTCCCCACATGACACCAACATGTATTTATATGTATTTTGAGACAGAGTCTCCCTCTGTTACTCAAGCTGGAGCACAGTGGTACGATCGCAGCTCACCACAGCCTCAAACTCCTGGACTCAAGCAATCCTCTCACCTCAGCCTCCTGAATAGCTGGGACTACATACGTGCACCACCACCCCTGGCTTTTTTTTTTTTTTTTTTTTTTTGGTAGAGATGGGGTCTTGCTATGTTGCTCAGGCTGGTTTTAAACTCCTGGGCTCAAGCAATCCTCCTGCCTTAGCCTCCCAAAATAGTAGGATTACAGGCATGAGCTACTGCATCCAGCTTCAATCACTTTAAAAATATTCTCTCCCTTTGATCCAGCTAGAAAAATTGTGATATAGGGATATTCTCACAAGTGTGTTCAAGAAATGCAAAATTTCAGCATTATTTGCAAAAGCAAGAAAACAGGACAGCCTAAATGCCCAGCAGTACAGTTATGCGCTGGGTGCATTGCTCCACACAAGGCGGTAGCATTCTGCATGAGAGCGAGGTGGCCTGTGTGTGCTGATTTGGAGATTGACCCTGTCATGCCTTCGCCTGACCCCCAGGCTCTCTGGATGCTGTGTGTGTGTGTGTGTGTGTGTGTGTGTGTGTGCGCGCGCGCGTGTGTGAAAGGGGGGGATGGGCGGGGGCGGTGACCAGAGAATGAGCTATACTGTCCCCTTCTTTAGTCCCAAATTCCACCTATCTCTCTCATCTCTGTCCCTGGAGATGATGAGGGATGGGTGAAAAAACAGCCAGCCTGCCCTTCCATCTCTCCTTCACTCTGGATGCCTGGACCACACCAAGAAGCTCAGCTCTACATCCCACAGAGCTGTCTGGGCAGGGCAGGCTGTTGCTTGACTTTTCAAGAAGTCCCCTTGTGCTCAGGAGCTTTGGTTTCTGGCCTGGCACCCTCCCATCTAGAATTCTAGAGACTATCATCTGGTTTGCACCTGTCTTGCTGAGGCCTAGAAAGGGCTCATTAAAGCTGGTACACTCCCCACCTACCCCACCACCAATTGTTTTCGGTAGTGTAGGGGCGAAGGGAAAATTTCCCTTACACCCCCTGAAGGTTCATGGAAAAATCAACTCACAAAAGGCAGATTAACAGGAGAAAGGCACACAAATTTATTTAATGTGTACACATGGGAGCCTTCAGAATGAAGACCCAAAGATACAGGGAAATTTTGTGCTCAGGTTCAACAAAGTATGGACAGCCACGTAGAAACAGAATTGGACAAACACATTGTGATCTAATACCGAGTGGAGGAAAAACCGCAAAACCTGTCTGCGTAGACTCTTCTTGGCCTCTGTGAGCATGCATTTCTTCCTTCTGGAAGGGGGGTCTCATGACCTGCAGTCAGACAAGGTACGTCAGATAATTTCTTTATTGCCAGTTTTTACCCAGAAAGGCAGAGAGAAGTTAGAGCAATGTGTTTAGGCTTTGATGGCTGGGTTTTGGGAAAAGGGCTTCTGGTCTCTGTGCCCTGCCTTGGAGAAGAGGAATTCTAGTTTTTATGGCTAGCCTTGAGGGAGAATTGGACTGAGAGATGGGAGGGCAGGAGAGAAAAGCTTCTTCCGAGGCGGCTTCTGAGCCCTTCATTCTGGGTATTGTTTTCAGAGTCCCAAGAGAAGGAATTTGATATTTCAAAAATGGAAACCCAAAACTTTGTTCCTGAAACTTTTCTTCATGGCAGGATATTGGGGGAGGGGATGCCATTATATTTTCAGAATTTAGGGCTTTAAAAAATGTCTTAACCTTGTTCTGGTTCCCTCAGCCAACGAAAAGAATAACCCTAGTGTTCTTCCTAGTCATTACTTAGAACTTAAACACTGGAAGAATGCTCGCCCATTTCCACAGTCTGGCTTAAAACTCAGCCCTTTTTCCTTCCCTTTCTCAGGCAAAAGTCCAGGCCCAGCACTGGGCAATCTGGCTTCCCCATTGATAGGGCCTGGGTACCCACTTCCCTTTAGCTGCACAGAATGGGCAGAGGCAGCCAGGATCAGCCCTAGGTGCCCTTCAGCCTCCATTCACAGTCTCTGATTTGAAAGCCCCAGACTACAACTATAGCTGGCCCAGAGTTTGAAAAGCACCTAACAAACCTTCCTTCCCTTCAATCTCTGGATCTGCCCCCAGTCTTGTCTCCAGAGCAGCTCTCTTCTGCCACCACCTGGCTCATGGCAGTCACTGCACCAGCCCTGCACTGCACTCCCTCTAACTTCCTTCCCCAGTCAGTTCCTCGGTATCTTTGGCTCTGCCCTCAGCCCCTGAATCCCAGAAGGGTCTCTCTTGCTCTTTCCTTCAAGCTCCCAGATTCTTTTTTTTTAGGCAGAGTCTCCCTCTGTCGCCCAGGCTGGAGTGCAGTGGCTTGATCTTGGCTCACTACAACCTCCACCTCATGGGTTCAAGCAATTCTCCTGCCTCAGCCTGCCAAGCAGCTGGGATTACAGGCATGCGCCACCACGCCCAGATAATTTTTGTATTTTTAGTAGAGACAGGGTTTCACTATGTTGGCCAGGCTGGCCTCGAACTCCTGACTTCAGGTGATCTGCCCGCCTTGGCCTCCCAAAGTGCTGGCATTATAGGGATGAGCACTGCGCCCGGCCTCCAAGCTCCCAGATTCTTTTTCTTTTTATTTTTTTTAGTTTTATTTTTTTGTTTGAGACAGAGTCTCGCTCTGTCGCCCAGGCTGGAGTGCAGTGGCGTGCTCTCGGCTCACTGCAAGCTCCGCCTCCCGGGTTCCTGCCATTCTCCTGCCTCAGCCTCCTGAGTAGCTGGGACTACAGGCGCCCGCCACCACGCCCGGCTAATTTTTTGTATTTTTAATAGAGACGGGATTTCACCGTGTTAGCCGGAATGATCTCGATCTCCTGACCTTGTGATCCGCCCATCTCGGCCTCCCAAAGTGCTGGGATTACTGGCGTGAGCCACCGCGCCCGGCCAGCTCCCAC